TAGCTGGGTCGTAGTGGTGAAGGAGTCAGACTAGGAGCCATCCTTGAGTCCTAGAGGGGTAAATACCTAGTAAAAAAAATAAGCTATTGGGTATTTAGTTACAGTTTCCTTAAGTGTTATAAAGAAAAGGCTAAGGTGCTAAAAGGAGCACCTAATTAGGACTCAGGAGTCTGGGGGAGTACATTTCTGAGGAAGTGGGAGAGGGCGGGGGAGAGGTGAAGTGGAAAAAGAGCATTCCAGAAGAATGGAACAGCTAACACAAAAAAAATGCCCACAGTGAGAAAGATTCTTGGGCTGAGCAGAAGGGGTACTTGAGCAGAGTGAGCAGCTGGGAATGGGTTGCCAGCAGGGTCAGGCGGGTAGAAGGAGCTCCATCATGGAGCAAGGCCGTTAAAGATTTTTAAACGGGTCGGATTTGTGATTGATAAAAATGCACTGCTGCAGCATGAAGAATGAAAGAGTGGAGGGTGGCAAAAGAGTGAATATGGGAAAACTTTTTTTTTTTTTTTTTTGGTGAGGAAGATTTGCTCTGAGCTAACATCCATTGCCAATCTTTTTCTTTTTTTGCTTGAGAAAGATTAGCCCTGAGGTAACATCTGTGCCATTCTTCCTCTATTTTGTATGTGGGTCGCCGCCACAACATGGCTTGACAAGTGGTGTAGATCGGTGCCGGGGATCCAAACCTGCAAACCTGGGCCACAAAAGCAGAGTGCCTGGGACTTAACCACTATGCTACAGGGCTGGCCCCCTAGATTCTATTTAGAGAAGATTTAAGTACCTCCACATGACCCTCTCCAGAGATAACCTCACTTAACAGTTTGCATGTCCTGCTAGTCCTTTTGTGTGTGTGTGTGTCTAAAATATAAGTACGTATATGTATGTATTCTCCCCCAGTATGGGGTAAAACTATATTCCTTTTTCTCTGATTTCATTTTTCACTTATAAATTTTGTCAGTGTGTAAGTCAACTGTACTTGAAAAACAGCTGTGTTATATGCCATTGTACGTACCGTAATTTGTGTAACTACTTGCATGTTGATGGACATATTTAAAATTTTGAGTCAGTTATGCCCTGAAAGTTCTTCTTTCTACAACTTGGAGCACATGTAGGACTAATTCTTTAGGATATCCTACTAGAAATAGAATTGCTGAGTGAAAGGGTGTGCACATTAAAATTTTTGATAGTGTGGTCCAATCCTCTTCCAAAGAGGACAGTGTATCAGGTTGATGGCTTTTCCCATATCCTTTTCAACACTGACTGTCTTGAGTCTTTTCAATGACAGACAATATCTTATTTTTTGATTTGTATTTCCTTGGCTACTGTTGAGGTTGAACATCTTTTTTTATGAATATTTTCATTGCATATCATTTTTTAAAACTTTTTCTTCATATCTTGCCCATTTTTTTCTGTTGTGTTATCTTAATGATTTGTGATAGTTCTTTATTAAACTGCATATTAATCCTTCAAAAAATTGTTTTTGCAGAAAAAATTTTAAAAGCCCTTTACCCTAATATACTATTTGTTTCCTTCTAGTACTTTCTCATTTCTTTCACTTTAAATCTTTAGTCCATCTAAAATTTATTTTCAAGTAAGTTGCTTTCATATTTTTGTAAAAAGAACTTGCTATTTGTGGCACTGGGTTTTATAGTTCAAAATACATAATTCTTAAAATTCTAAACCTGGAAGAAGCTGTGTTTTTCCTTAGCAGGTTAACTCTACTTGTATAGTGAGTCTTTATTTTCAAGATGTAGGATAAGGTGTAAGTCAGAAAACTTGTTTTATAATTCATTTGCTTGTCAGGAACCACAAAGTTGTAGCACATTTCGAACATTTTTTTCCCCTTAAAAAACTTGTTACTATGGAAAAATTCAATGTATGCATAAATATTCAGAAGAGTATACTGAACCCCCGTGTAGCCATCATGCAGCTTCAGCAGTTATTGGCCAGTTATCTGGCCAGTTTGTTTCACCTCTATCCCCACTTAACTCCCTTCCTTGTATTATTTTGATGCAAATACTAGACATCACATCATTTCTTCTATAAATATTTCAGTATGTATCTTAAAAGATGTATCTGAAAAGATAAGGACTCTTTTTTTTTTTTTTTAACATATCTTTAATACCACTATTTAAAAGAAAAATGGCAGTAATTCCTTGGTTATCTTAAACAATCCAGTCAGTATTCAAATGTGTGTATGTATAATTTAGTCCTTGGGAAGTTCAAATGACAATTATCATGGCTTTGCCAGTTTACCTAATTACACAGGAGTATGCATACTTATAAAATGAGGATATAAGCCTCAATTTATAGCTATTGAATAATTTTTTAATGTTGGTATTTAATATTTCAGCTTTTATGTTTACAGGTGCATCTAGTTTAAAACAGCTGGTTATACAAGACGTCTTATATATCGTATATATATATAACAACAAATGTGTGACTTATAAAAATTTTTTATTTTGAAATAATTTTAGACTTATATAGAAGTTACAACAATAATACAGGGCCGGCCCCATGGCTTAGCGGTTAAGTTCGCGCCCTCCACTGCTGGCGGCCCGGGTTCAGATCCCGGGTGTGCACCGACGCACCGCTTCTCCGGCCATGCTGAGGCCGCGTCCCACATACAGCAACTAGAAGGATGTACAGCTATGACATACAACTATCCGCTGGGGCTTTGGAGGGAAAAAAATAAATAAATAAAAATTAAAAAAAAAAAAAAGATCTTTAAAAAAAAAAAACAATAATACAGAGTTTCCATATGCCTTTCACCTAGCTTCCCCCAATAACATCTGACAACTTAAAAAAAAAAAAGCTTATTTGAATTAGAATCTAAAATAGGTCCACATATTGTGATTGATTGATATGTATTTTAAGTCTCTTCTCATCTATAGTTTCCTTTGTACCCCCCCTTCCAATTTGTTGAATAAGCTGAATTAAGTTTTAAAAAAATTCATCGTGTACGTTTTGTGTTTGTATTTTCATTCAGCTCCTTTTTAGCTGTGATCTTTGGTAATTTATTTCTTATCCCTAAAATGTGAGTTTTACTTGAATGGTTCTATGATGTAGAAAGAGAGACCAAGACTTGGAGTCAGAAAATTGGAGTTTGAACCCTTGTCTTCACCGTGTGCTAAATAATGGACTTGGTCAATGGTTTAATTTCTCTGACCCTTAGTTTACTCATCAAAATAAGGCAATCTTTGGGGAGTTTTCCTGGGGGAGCAAGTTAGGATTATTTACTAAACAAGTGTTGTACTTGATGATGAAATGTGCTGGGTGGCCAACTATTCAAAGTAGGACTTGTGTCCTCAAGGAGCTTACGGTAAAGGATACAGACGTGTAAGTGAATAATTAAAATCTGATTAGTGAAGCAATAAAATATTTTCAAGATTCAGTGGAAGTGTGATGATAGGAGCGACTGACTCTGGATAGCAGAGAATGTTTCTCAGGGGAGATATAGGTGTAGTTGGGTTAAAAGGAATAAATATGGATTCTCTGACATAAGGGTATTAGAAGTCTGGGGTAACAAGTACAACCTTTCATAGGCAGCTGAAAGGAGACTGGAGAGCAAGGTGCAAAGGGACCGAGCAATGCCTGAAATAAACCTGGAGAGGGCGAGACTGGAGCCACATGTTATGTATGAGTGCTTTGGAAACTGGAAAGCTATCTAAAATTTTAGTTATTTCTTTGGGATTTTGAGCAGATGAATGTACAAATGACAAACATCATGGCTTAGCCAGTTTACCCAATTATGTAGGAATATCCATACTTGTAATATTCATACTTGTAATGTGTGTATGGTAATCTTCACTTTATAGATACTTTTTAATGGGATATATTTATTTATTTTAAAATTAGCTTTTATTTTTATCAAGTTTACAAATATATCTAGTAGAAAGAGTCGTCTGACCTGAAGGCTTCTTTTGAAAAACAGCACGCTCTTGAATTCTGCTCCCTCCTTAAGGCAACCACTTTCACGTTTTAAATAACATGGTCTTATTGCTACTTCTTGACTTTTAGTTTTAGGAATTATGTGTTGAATTCCCACTAGGCAAGGTGAGGAATTAGCCCTCTGTCCACACCTACCTCTATTATATACCTCCTCTCAGTTGTAGTTACTTTATAGTTATGGTTAGATCAATATTTAGTGTTTATAGTGTTTTGACTATTAAACTATTAGCTGAGTCATGTAGTGTACTGTGATTGCTTTTCCTTTTCTGCACAACTTCTTGTTTTCTCTGGAATTAATAATTGTCTTTTTGTTTATTTGTTGGCTTATATACCGTGTGTACTTATTTTTCTGAAACTCAGTCGTGTAACATTAGATTAGCGAGGTGGTTTTTATGGTGTTTCCATTTTATGTGTGCTTTATTTTAAAGACTACTAACACCTGTTTTAATTATTTTGATTAACCTTTATGTTCTTAATAGAGATAAGGAAAGAAATAGCATTAAAGTAATTTGACATTATAAAGAAATTGAGTAGCAATTTCAAATATGTAATAGAATATTTGATAAAACCGTAATATTTGAATTATATTTGTATTTTAGCTGAAATAGGTGATTATTTTTGTATTTTTATTATGAATGCTCAGAAGAGAAGTGGAACTTCTTAGGATTGTTATGATCATCAAAGGATACCTTAGTGTGTGACATCATTTCCTAATGTTTGTAGGGATATACGGCTATTGTACATAATTCATTGACCCAGAAGACCTGATGAACTTCATAAATGTTTGCCCTCTCCTATCAGATCAGCTCCTTATAAAATAGTCCCGTAAGTTTAGAAATGCTCTAAGCCATAGCTCTATTTTATGTAAAAGTCTTTAAAAACTTTGAATTCAAGTAGCCAGTTTTAATTACTTTTTTCCTAATTTACTTGACAGGAGCCCTTTTTAATAGCATATCTGCTAATGTCCACAGGACTTTACTAAGTAACACCGTATGTCTGACTGCAAATTGTGGGGAGTCTTCTGATATCTTTTTCTTTCTGGTTTATAGTGACAAAAATGCTGAGCTTCTTGCGGAGAACGCTCGGGCGTCGGTCAATGCGTAAACATGCTGAGAAGGAGCGACTCCGAGAAGCTCAACGAGCTGCCACGCACATCCCTGCAGCTGGAGATTCTAAGTCCATCATCACGTGTAGGGTGTCCCTTCTGGATGGTACTGATGTTAGTGTGGACCTGCCGGTATGTAGATCTTGCTGACCTTTTGCAAATTCTATGTGAGATGGCTTTCTTCATTTGTGCTTTCTAGTGATAACTTCCTGGGGGAATTAGGTAATATGGGTTAGTATGGATCAGGCGTTATAACTTACAGGTACATGGATCAGGTAACCTTGGGTACCTGGAATGGTGGTATTTCTGTGGAATTAGTGGCAGTTACCTGAAACGTTTAAACGATAGGGCAGTTACTGGCACAAGTCATTTGTGTGTGTGTTTATGTGTATTCTTTATGATGGCAGTACATAGTGTACTTCAGTGGATTTCTCACAATCCTTGTAGAGCAATTATTAAAGCAAGGAAAATCTTTGGGACCAATAACGATACTATACTGTAAGACTTTTAGTTCTCTATACTTTTCCGTAATTTTCAAAACACTCCTCACTTTCCTCAAAACAAAAACTTCCTCAACAATTTGGTGTACTTGCCGAAATTTTAGTGAAACGAAGTGAGAAAAAGGACTTTCATACTCCTCAGCTCTGACTGCCTATCTCTTTGCTCCCAAAGTAGTTTGCAGGGGAGGTTTTTGATAGACTGTAATCTTTATTTCAAGACAGGATGTTGTAATTATATGCAAATTTTGGGTAGTTTTTTTTTTCAGGTACGAATACCTAATCATAACTCACAGTGTACAACAATCCAGCATATTTGAAAGGGGTTAACTTATTCCTTATAAGCCTTTTTTTGAGGGGAGAGGGAGGTAGCTCTGTGGTTTTGGGGAAATTGAGTTTCTTTCTGAGCTGTTTACTAATACCAAATCTCTTTCTAATAGCTTCGTTCTGCATTAAAAGATTTACATAACTAAGCTATAAAATGTGCAAATTGATGTAAGCATCATTGGATGTTTCACACTGTCTTCCCTCTTCACAAACTCTTTTTAGTACACGTTCATATACCCAAAATGCTGTAGGGTCTCTTTGTGTGAGGTGATAGTGTAGATGCTGCTACGATACGTAGTTGACTAAGTTCTGGAAAGCCATAAACTCACAGAGTCAGAGATTAAAGAATTGGATAGTTTGTTTAAATGAATATTCTGGTTAATTGAATAATTGAGAATGTACTAGGTATGTACCTTACACATTTTTAAAACAATAGAATGGGATAAAATTAAAGACGCAGGATTTCTTCAAGTGTTCAGAAGTCATTGTTATGAGTATTTATTATCTTTGTGCATTATACTGGACATTTTTAGGGTTTTTGATTCTGGAAGACTTTAAGGCATTTAAATTTTCTTCCTGTAAGGGCCTCTTGAGGGTTTGTGAGACATTCTAATATGTGATACTTTGTGAGGGTAGTTTTCATATTCATTTCTTATTTGATAAGTACCTTAAGAGTTTTGTGTACTGTTCCGTTAAAATATCATTAGATATGTAGTGAGAAGCTTGAGATTGCTGTGTAAGAGACCGGAAAGAAGTTTCTTATTACCTAATGTTTGAAGTATGAAGTCTCAAAGTTGTTGATGGAGAGGCTGATAGGAAGAAAGTAGAATTTGTAAAGGAGCTTTTTAAAGAGGCAGTGTAGTGTGGAGGAGAAACAGCACTAGGTTTTAAAGTAGTGGAACAATGGCTAGTGACTGGTATAGAATAGTTTCCTGTGCTTGGCATGCTCAATAGGGTGTATGTAATGCTTGATCAAGGCCAGAAATGCTAGCTGACTGCTCTTGCAGACAATTGCAGTGAAAAAGCCAAGAGTTTTAGATTTGACTGTTTGTAGAACTAGAACAGTTGCCTTTTCAGCTCTGCAGGTGAAATCCTAGAGTTAGTAAACTAACTCTAGATGCTTGCACGGATGTAAAATGGGCATTCATCTGCCAGCTGAACTGCCGTACTAAAGAAAAAAATAGGCTAGAGGAATGTTAATTTCTAAAAAGAAAAGGTTTTCCCTTTGTCTGATTTAACTTCTCAAACAGTCTAAGATGATTCTGAAAGAAGATTTACAATTGATTTTGGAAATTGAGTGAAGCATATACTCATTTCTAATTAGGATTAGGGTCACTAGTGATCGTAGTAAGCCCGCTTGGAATTAAGGTGATTGCCGGGCAATATGTAAGGGATTATATGTGATTAAATACAATAATTTAAATCCCTAGACTTCAAATTAATATATACCAAGTAGAATGATCATTTTCTTCCTTCTGGTCTCCTTTCCTCTCAAAATTGGGGGAGGAATTTAAATACCTTCTACATTCTTTTTTATTTTGAAGAACTAAATACAGTGAGAATGCCTTTCAGTGAATGATAAAGGGATCAGGTAGAAATTTCTGACTAACCGATTTTTAAATTTTCTCTTTGGAAATGCCACTTAACTCCTTTGATTGATTTCTGAGCTTAGTATTGTTTAGTAAATAGCCTGTCCTGTAAAACGCTGCATCTCCTAAGTTTTAAATTAATAGGGAGGGGCCGGCCCTGTGGCGTAGCGGTTAAGTGCACGTGCTCCGCTGCTGGAAGCCCGGGTTTGGATCCCGGGTGGGCACTGATGCACCGTTTGTCAGGCCATGCTGTGGCGGCGTTCCATATAAAGTGGAGGAGGATGGGCACAGATGTTAGCCCAGGGCCAGTCTTCCTCAGCAAAAAGAGGAGGATTGGCATGGATGTTAGCTCAGGGCTGATCTTCTTCACAAAAAAAAAAAAAAAAAAAAGAAATCGGTATCAAAAACAATGAAAAGAAAAATACATTGAAAAAATAAAAAAAATAAAAAAATAAATTAATAGAAAATATTTGATTAACGAGTAGATAGTAATTTTTTATGTACCTACTTTGCTAATAGAGATGGTGAAGGTTTTAAATTATATATATGTATATGGTTAAATTATATAGACCATGTATAGTTATACCTTTAAATAAATGAAAAAACATCCCATGTCCACTAATTGGAAAACTTAACGTTGTTAAGATGGCAGTAGTCCAAACTGATCTACAGATTCAACATATTCCCCACCACTACTAGCTGACTTATTTGTATAAATTGACAAGCTGATTTTAAAATTTATATGGAATTGCAAGTTACTCAGAATAGCCAAAACAATACTGAAAAAGAACAGAGTAATAGGACTCACACTTCCCAGCTTTAAGGCTTACTGTAAAGCACTGGTAATCAAAATGGTGTGCTGCCAGCACAAGGATAGACACACAGATCAAGGGAACAGAATAGAGAACTCAGAAACAAACCCATACATCTATGGTCAATTGATTTTTTTTTTTTTTAAATATATTTTTTTAATTTTATTTATTTACTTTTTTACCTCAAAGCCCCCGTAGATAGTTGTATGTCATAGCTGCACATCCTTCTAGTTGCTGTATGTGGGACGCGGCCTCAGCATGGCCGGAGAAGCGGTGCGTGGGTGCACGCCCGGGATCCGAACCCGGGCCGCCAGCAGCGGAGCGTGTGCACTTAACCGCTAAGCCACGGGGCCGGCCCATGGTCAATTGATTTTTGATAAGAGTGCCAGAACCATTCACTGGGGGAAAGAATAGTCTTTTCAACAAGTGGTGCTGGGAAAACTGGATAGCCACATGCAAAAGAATGAAGTTGGAACCTTACCTCACACTTTATATAAAAATTGACTCAAATGGATCAAAGACCTAAATGTAAGAGCTAAGACTATAAAACAGAAGTAAATGTAGGGATAAATCTTCATGATCTTGGATTTGGCACCAGTTTCTTAGATACGACACCAAAAACATGAACAACAAAAGAAAAAAATAAATTGGACTTTTATCAGAATTAAAAACTTTTGCACCTTAAAGGATGCCATCAAGAAAGTTAAGACTCTCCCACAGAATGGGAGAAAGTATTTGCAAATTATACATCTGATAAACACCTGTATCTAGAATATATAAAGAACTGTTACAACCCAATGATAAAAAGACAACCCATTTTAAAAATGGGCAAAGAATCTGAATAGATAGTTCTCCAAATGGGATATACAAGTGACCAGTAAGCACGTGAAAAGATGCTTGACATCAGAAGTTAGAGAAATGCAGATAAAACCACTATGAGATACAACTTCACACCAACTAGGAAGGCTAAAATAAAAATATCAGATAATATAAGTACTGGTGAGAATGTGGAGAAATCTGAACAATCTTTCAGTTCCATTTTTGGCAGGAATGTAAAGTGGTGCAGCTGCTTTGGAAAACAGTCTGGCAGTTCAAGTGGTTAAACATAGTTACCGTGTGACCCAGCAATTTCACTTCTAGGTATATACCCGAGAGAATTGAAAACATGTTTCTACAAAAGCTTCTACACTGATGTTCGTAGTAGCATTATTCTTTTTGGTGTGTGTGAGGAAGATTAGCCCTGAGCTAAACATCTGTTGCCAATCCTCCTCTTTTTGCTAAGGAAGATTGGCCCTGGGCTAACATCTGTGCCCATCTTCCTCTACTTTATATGTGGGATGCCTGCCACAGCATGGCTTCATAAGCCATGTGCAGGTCTGCGCCTGGGATCTGAACTTGCAAACCCCGGGCTGCTGAAATGAAGAGTGCAAACCCAACCACAATGCCACTGGGCTGGCCCCAATAGTAGCATTATTCTTAATAGCCAAAAGAGAGAAACAACCCAGATGTCCGTCAGCAGCTGAATGGATAAACAAAATGTGTGATATCCATATAATTGAATAATTCTTTCACCTAGCACGTGTCTGCAAAGTTCATCCATGTAGCGTGTATCAGTATATCATGTATCAGTACATGCTACATGGATGAACTTTGCAGACACGTGCTAGGTGAAAGAAGCCAGTCACAAAAGACCACATATTATATGATTCCGTTCATATGGAAGTCCAGAATAGAGAAATCTGTAGAAAAAAAGAGTAGATTAGTGGTTGCTTAGGGTAGATGGGTGGGGGCTGAGGGGGCAGTGAGAAGCGTGGTCAGGCACAATAGCTAAAGGATTCAAGGTTTCTTTGTGAGGTGATGAAGATCTTCTAAAATTAGTTGTGATGGTTGTACCTATCTGTGAATAC